GTATGTATGTATGTATGTATGTATGTATGTATGTATGTATGTATAAATCATAACATTCAGTTTAGATACCGCACAAGCCACGGGTCCCGTTATATACCATCAGATCGAGATCGGTACAGTTTATTATCCACTGAGTTCTGATGCCCAGGAGAGCTGACAGAGTTACAATTATCGACCCGCATTACTGAATACAACCATCTGTCTATCCACTCTTCCAGAGAGGTGACTCCATCATTCGTGCTGATGGATGTTCAAGGCACTAGTGTGGTGCTTTTCGTATACTCTCTGCAACCAGACGGCGAGGTCAATGTGTCTCGAATCGACTTCAAGAAGACAGCACAATAAGTCCGATCCTCGTATACGAACAGAATTCGTATCTACTTCGGATTATTTTCCAGTGCGAGCTGTGCCTACTACTCTATACTCCTCACAAGTAAGAATCCATGATCGCCGTCTTTTGACACGAGCAACTCGGTACTTTTCATGCGCAACCTTATATAAGTCAGAGGATCCTACATGGGAACAACCGTGGGTGAGAAGATGAGTGCCTACTCACATGCGATACATTCGATTGCGAAGTCAGCTGAGGACCAAGTCAAAAGCGGAAGCGATTCACCAATTTAGCATGCAAACTGTCGCACACGTGCATTCAATATGTGGTCAATCGCACAGCGTATTTTGTACATCCTGGAGCGTGTGGATTCAGACTCGCTCGACATCGGTGCAGTTATAGGGTGCAGATCTAGACAAAGAGGTCAAGATATTCAAACGAATAAATGAATCAAATAACTGTTTCAGGCGTAGCTCTTCTGAACTAACAGACACGGATCAAAATCTATGGGATACATATGTAAAGAACACATTTAGACACGTAGTGGCTGTCAATTGAAAAGCGAACTTTAGGCTCTATACATGCGTAAGCACGCGCACACTTGCACATAGATACACAGACACAAAAACACAAACAGAGAAATAGACACATACACGTACATATATATTTATATACATGGTATGCTCATCATGCTTCGAGATGCGTACTCATTTGTATGCATTAAAAAAAATAACAACCAGGATGTGTATATACATAAATACATGCATAGATATATGGTAATTTTGCTTGAGCTGACGCAAGAAGTAGCAGCGACGTATTCAAGAAAAAGTATATATACCGTGGTCGTGAGATTGTTAATATATATGTATAGGATAGGTTAGTATTCGCAAGTCCCGAAATAAGGAAGAAGCGGCGAAAAGACGAAAAAAAGAGACGACCCTAAGCCACATACTGTTAAAAAACTGCTACTTACTTGTAGCTGCTGACTCATGGCATCACCTTGTCGCAGTAGGTTCTGGCCCATCTCAACAAAATGCGGAAGACGTTCCGTGTCGAAAGAGCTCGATATAAGCGCACCTGTGAGTATGGCGTGATTACATTTAGACCCATACCAGGTGACTCAGTAACTAACATACATACGTATATATATATATGGACATACTAATTCATCATTTTGCCGCATATATATAAGTACCAAATACCTATATACAAATATATACCCACACGAGAATATATAT